GCGTGCTTGTACTTTCTGCGGGGGCCTCGGGGTCCGCGGGCGTCCGCAAGCGAGGCCCCACGGTGACGGCCAAGGTGACCGAGTGGAGGACGCACGTCCCCTCCTGTCGGGCAGAGGGATGGGGAGCTTTGGGGACCGGGATCCCTGTGTCGGGTAGCGGGAAGGGGTGGGGGCAGAGGATGGGCGGCTGCGTCAGGCTGGTGCGAGGGGATCGCCCGCGCCGCGGTGGTGGAAGTGCTCGTGGTGGGGAGGGGGGGCACCCTCCCGGATGACTTGGGGGGCGAAGGCCCGAGCCCTAGCCCGTCCCCGCCGCCGTTTGTTTGAACTTGACCTCCCAGGTCGGGGGTCCGAGGTGGCCAGCTCAGGGGTTAGGAGAAACTTCCGGAACCGGTGGGCCCTCTCTCCAGGAAGGGGACGGCCCAGGCACTTCCTTCGGCGTGGCGGGGACTTGGGAACTGAAGCGGGAGGAGTGCGGGGGGACGGAGACGGGAGGGGGAGACGTGCTCCGAGCTCGGCGGTAGCAAGGGGCGCCCGCCGGCGATGTCACCCAGCAGGGAGAGCCCAGCACAGCCCCTGCGCGGGTGTGGGTGGTGTCCGGGCAGGCGTTACCATCCGTGCTGGAGGGAGCCCACCTCCTCCATTTAGGAGCTTGGTCCTCCCCTGGGAGAGAGAGGTGCGCCCGTAGACTTCAGCGGCTGGTGGACAGACCCTGGGCTTGGGGTGGTGCTGGCGGCATAGGCAGCACCTGTGTGAGGCCGGCCTTTTTGTCTCGATTAGGGGCGGGTTGGGGGGTGGGGGGTGTCTGCCAAATCTGCCATAGACTGCCCTCGTGGCTTCAGTTTTTTTCCCCAGCAGTTACCCTATGTTAGAAGATAATGGCAGGGTGCAGGGCGCAGGGAGAGACAGGCGGAGGGGAAGGGGGGATGCTTGGGCTGTTAATTACTACTGCTAGAAAAACTTCTGGGCGGTAGTCTCTTGGAATCTGGAGGAAGGGGCCGCTCGCGCAGTCTTAACAACCAGCCCCGTGTTCCACCGTGGACATGGTACTGTGGAGCTAGTAGAACCCTTACATCTACCGCAGACCCCACCTGAGAGGGGGCGAGGGAGTGTCAAAGGGGCTGCAAGGGGGAAGTTCAGCCCCACATCTGATGTACCCTGAGTGAACCAAAAGGCCTTGGGGGCGGGGGCTGCCTGAGATAAACTTAGCCTGATTGTTTTCAGCGCAAATTCTACTCCCAGCCCCTTGATCTTTTGGGCTTATCTAGTTTGGGGAAGTGGCTTGTGCAGGCCACAGAGCTGAAGCAGGGGATGGGGGCTCTTCCAGTCTGCAAATATATTTGGGCCTATTAGGATACAGTGATAAACATAAAACTCATGAAATTATGAAATGGTGAAGGAAATAAACCCCACTATAGACTGGGTGACATTTAAAAATACCTGAAGGATAAGAAACCCAGCCTGGCAAAAACGTAGGGAGGCAAACTTAGTGCCTGTGCAAAGGCCTCCAGACCGGAAAGCCATCCTCCCATCAAGAGGCTGGATTGCCTGGGAAGTGTGGCTTCAGGGCAGGGTGGAGAGGGGCGTGGCTCCAGGTGAGGTTGGGGCTAAGCAGCAGCAAGATCCTGCAGGGCCTCAGAGGTCACAGTTAGGAGTGTGGGTTTTGAGGCAATTAGTCTTATAATTTGAGGTCTTATTCTAAGTGCAGTTAGAGCTGCCGAAGGGTTTTAAGCATAGGTTTGACAGGATCTCATATGTGCTTTTAAACCATTACTGTGGTGGCTCAGTCTCCGGAGAGTGACCTGGGAGGTCATGCTGGGCTCCATGCCAGAGTCCAGATGATGGTGGCTGGGATTAGGGCGGTAATGGGGGAAATGGGGAGCAAGGAGGGACTTGATATAGATTCTGGAGGTATCACAAGACTTGCTGACAGTTTAGATAGGGGGAAAGGGGAAAGGGATTAGGATTGCCAGATAAAATACAGGAGGACCAGTTAGATGTGAACATTTCAGATAAACTGAGGAATTTCTTGGTGTGAGGGTGTCACCTGCAATATTTAGGAGCAAGTTTCACCCGGGAAGTTGTAAACCTACCAATGCAGAGCCTACCCCAGAGCAAGTCAGTCACCACCTCTGGGGGTGCCTGGGTTGGGAAACTCGAGAGGAGGGAGGGATAGAGGAGAGGAGGAAGCTGTGGCTGCAGGAGGGGAGCTTGGAGCATCTCAGCCCCTGGTTTAAGGTGCTGTCACTGAGGAAGTTTCCAGGTGTTCTATTCTAGGATTACGTAGGCTAGTCTTCTTCAGGTTCCACTCTGTTGGATTCATTACACTTTCAGTGAACTTTTTAAAGCAACAAGATCTCCTGAAAATGGAGACATTAAAAATGATTTCTCAGAGTGGGGAAAAGTAGATTAATTGGCCACTGCTCCACTGTTTTCTTTTCCCTAGCAGTCTTTTGCTTTTCCTCTGATTTCTAAAATCAGGAATCTGTAAATGAGGTGTGTGGTGCTGTCCGCCTGCAGGGCACTTTACTGGCCCTCACCTTGTCCCTGAATCCTGCTGTCAGGCCACTGCCTCAGCTTCCTGCCCAGCCAAAGAGGCTCAGGTGGGGGCTCTGGCTCATTGGCCTCAAAATCCACTGACGTGGCCCCTGCATTTTCCAGCAGAGCCAAGGCTTCTGTATAGCCAGGCACCCAGAGTGTAGGAAGTCATGCCGCCCCCTTTGCAGCTGTACTCTTCACAGCGTGCTGGCACTTTCTACCCTGTGGCGTGGCCGTGAGACTAAGGCTGGGTGATCTTGATCTTGGGCAGGTTCTCTGATGTCTCAGGCTCTGGCTCCTCCTTTGTAAAATGGAGATGGAGATAATATCTGCTCATGAAAGTTTTGCATCCTGGATGTGATAGAGCAGGTAAAGTGATTAGCCCTGATGTGTGCTCCTGATTGAAGAGCTCAGTTGTTAGAGTTTTTGGTGTTATTAATCCCCCTGCAGCAATGCAGACCTGAAGGGAATCGTCTGTTTTACAGATGAGGACCAAGAGCTCACAGCCAGTTAGTGGTGGAGCTGGGTTTCGTTGACATCACAGCTCACTTTGCTGTGGAGATGGAAGAGGATGAACCCTACAGGGGTTTGGGTCAGGCTACCTAAGTGCCTATTCACTCTTCCCTCACCTCTCTCCACCTCCAGTGCCCCATAATTTTCAAATCACTTTCAAGGGCAGCTTCGAGGGAAAACAAGAAGTGACTGAGATGCCCACCCCTAGAGTGCAACATGGGATCCAAGTACCAACTCCAGGAAGCCTGCCCTGGTCCCCGCGGATAATCAGCACCTCTAACCCTATTTTATCTGTACTCGTCTTCTGATAAAATTCGATTTCCCATTATACTAAAGCTACTGGTATATGCGCTTTCTGTTCTATGGGACTGGAAGCTCCATTTCCATTAGAGTGTAAGACAGTAAGGCTGAGTGCAAGACAATAAGATTTTTACTGAGTTAGGCTGGATGAAAAGCACTTCTCAGGCTCCCCAGATGTTATTTTCTTTACTTTCTAAACATTCATGGGCTTTATTTGCTCCGCTTTATTTTAAAAGTCTGGCAGGCTTTTCTAGTCTCTTATACAATATTTCTTTAAAATTATGCCCCTGATTCTTTTCCTGGTGCTACTTTGTTATAGCCCCTTAAAGAATTTACTCCTTGGCTTGGAAATCCCTTTGTAGAGACAAGCTCTACAGGACCAGGCTCATGTGTGGGTTAACGCAGCCTCATTGCATTGCTCTTCTCTACATCATTGCCTCAGCTCAAGGTCTTCCATGTATTCTTACAGTTATACTGGATAAATACTAACACAGTGTTTACTGCTTTGCCATGTGAAAATTGTAAAACACCACATGGAACACTAAATATCACATCACTCACGGCAGACGAGCTGATGTATCGGCAGAAGCTCTTATCTTAAACTGAAGGTGGACAGTCTTTACTTCGTGATTTTTCTCAACTGTAAGACATCCTTTTTCTTTGACAACCCTTCTTATATTTTTTAAAGCCATCTCTTGGATGTCTTTTTCCCACATCCATTCAAACATTAAATTGGTTCATATAATCTAAACTCGCTAATAGAATGCCCTTCGACTCCATGGCCTTTTCAAGTGTTCTGTCTCCGAATCATCTTCACACAGTGATTTGTGAAGCAAAATGGATATAATTTCATTTCAGATGACAAGCTTCTTTTTAAAGTCCAAGAGAACCTTTAAAGTTTATCTGCAAAAAGAGCGACTCACACTTAACCCTCTGGATATGTGTTTTTTTCTGTCCTAAAACGTTGGGACAGTAAAAGAACACGTTACTTGTGTAACATGACAAAGTATGTCAATCTTGTGGCCAGTGGGCCACTAAACGAGGCATGTGGCCCGCCGGCCGCGAGTTTGACATGCTTGGAAAAGGTTTCGTCAGGACCTGAGTGTAACTTTTGCTGAACTTTAGGTGAGGCTGGGGACCTGGTGCCTTACTGAGCTTGGGTTAGGGTTAGGGTTAGGGTTAGGGTTAGGGTTAGGGTTAGGGTTAGGGAGTGAGTGGCAGGCCTTTGGGAG